AGTCAAGGACAGATGAAGCTGCTCATGCATGAGTTCAAGGTCACCCAGCAAACGATCTCACGCATCTGGGCACGTGGTCGCGACTCCGCCGCATCCACAGGGTGTGCCAAGTTGTCGTCAAGGAAGAAAGGGCGGTGCGGCGCTCCACCCAAGTACGCTACAACCGACGTGCGCACCATCATTACCAGTACTCCGACAGCCGATCGGTCCACATTCAGGTCGTCGACCGGCGTTCCGAAGACGTCGCTGTGGAGGCTACTTCAGGCCAAGAAGTTGAGTCGCAGGACGAGTCGACTGAAACCCTAGTTGTCACCTCGACATCTTGAAGATTCCTTCAAGTTTGTCAAGTCGTTCCTTCGGCCTTGCTTGGGCGGCGAACTCCGATGGCACGACATGATGGATTACGTTCACATCGACGAAAAGTGGTTCTACATCACGAAGGTAAATCGCCGATATTACCTGTGGCATGACGAACATGTTCCCGTGAGGAAGGCGCAGTCCAAGCGCCATATCACAAAGGTGATGTTCCTGTGTGCGGTCACCCGGCCTAGGTTTGACTTTCATCGTCGAACAATGTGGGACGGCAAGGTCGGGCTGTGGCCTTTCGTTGAGGTCGTGCCCGCGAAGAGACGCAGCAAGAACCGCGACCGAGGAACTCCCATCACGACACCAATGACAGTCACGAAGCCTGTGTATCGTCAGTACCTGGTGGACAAGGTTATCCATGCGATTCAAGCCCAGTGGCCCTCCAATCGCCGTGGACCGGTGTTCATTCAGCAAGACAATGCCAAGCCTCACGTTGGCGTTGACGATCCGCAAGTGATGGAAGCAGGGCGCACGAATGGGTGAAGCATTCGACTCACGGCACAGCCAGCACAAAGCCCGGACTTCAATGTCCTGGATTTGGGATTTTTCAATGCGACACAAGGACTGCAGCATCAGACCTCGGCGCGCACCATCGACGACCTCATCAAGTCGGTACAAGACGCGTTTACAGATCTGCCTTGGCGTGTGCTGGACAAGACGTTCATGACCTTGCAAAAGGTCAAGGAAGAGTCCATGAAGGTTCAAGGCGACAATGTGTACAAGCTGCCGTACTTGCGTAAAGACGTCCAAGAGAAGGCTGGTGTGCGTGAATTGCGTCCATCGTGTGAACCAGAAGTCGTCGCAGCCCTCGAAGCACTGGAGAGTCGCTTGGCTGACGAGGACCTGGTCGACGAAATGGCTGAACTGTTCAACACTTCTAGTGATTTTGCGCAGGTGGAGAAGATAGTTGTGTGTGAAAGATACTTAGAATGCCAACCAAATTGTTCATCACATCATGCATTCACTCGTCGTAGAATTGTACTTCTGAATAAAAATACACTTACACCTCGAAATTTGATGCATAGTGTATACAAATTGCTTGATGTTTAAACCTCTCCACACCAATGAATATATCAAATAAACCATTTTATGATTTCACTGATATTGGACTCTTTACGAATTATTCACGAACTCCTCTATGAAATTATGTTCTACATAGTAATTCAGTTTCATGAGTGTTGATTAACTGACATGTGTCCACCGCATATTAACGAAGCTCGATGACCTCCGGCCTCTGGCCTTACACGCTCCTGAAAACGGACTTCATGTCCCAAGCCACGTCCCGTGACCTTGCTGAGTTCTACTCTACGAAGGACTATGTCCCTCAAGGCAATCGTATCGATGCGCTTAACATCAGCAAGATGTACCTCGATCAAGTCGAGCACTCTGAGTTTTATGTTGTCGACCCGACTCTGTCGGTGACCGATCGCGATGCGCGTCTCGCTGAGATCAAGGCGCACACGACCGCCATCTAACGTGAGGTCATTGCCCGCGAGGCGACCAAGAAACTTGCGAATCAACGCTCTGCGGCGCACACCTTCTTGGTATCGGCTATCTCCACCAACCCCCTCCGCCCCCTCTATCAGGCCACTACGTGCCCGTTCGAGCTCTTTGAGCACATCAAGACTCGTTTCGAGTCCAACCCCATGGACAACAACCCCACCGTTATTGCCAGTTATCTGCGCACTCTCAAGTTCACCGATGAGAGTTGTATCGACACTCTATCCGTGGAGCTTATTGACCTTGTCAAACGCCACCTCTGTGGTGTCTATGACGCCGCCGTCGTTTAATCCTCTGGATCCATCGTCAATCTCGTCCGTCGACTACCACAACCATATCTGGAATTACTGCGATGTCCGACACCTTTATTGGTGACAAGGAATTGGAAAGTCGTGACCAACTCTGTGGCCACCGCGGGCGCCTCCAACCAGTCCGTTATCGTTGCTGACGTTTGGGCCCCTCTTCAGCATATTATTACCAATCGTCTCCAATGAGCGTCTGCTCTGGGTGACAACGGCTCTGCCGCTACATTCAAACACGAACCCAGCTTGCAGCTCTCACGCATGCCGTTGCGGCCCCTGCAGCACCACCCAAAGCGATTACGCAAGCCGATGGCTCAGTTCATGTTATGAACGCCTTTACTATCCCGAGCTATGCTCACCGTGATTGTGTCAATCACCCAGGCAAGTCCTGCTTTTACTGCGGTGTTGCCAAACATACGCTTCCAGCGTGCCCTACTCTCAAGTCGGACTATGTCCGCAACACTATGCGTCCTGGCTTTGACCGCGCCGTCTTTGACAAACATGGATCTTCCTCCCAAAAGAATCGCAAACGCGATTATATCGCTTCATCGCGTCCTACCCAACGTCCTCGTGATGACCGCGATGATCGCGATGGGCCTAGTGGCGACCAGGGCTCTAATAGCCACCATGGATGGGGACCAAGTTCCTCTAGTGGTCCTGGAAATGGCGGGTGGAACAACAATCGTGGCAACAGCCGTGACAAAAATCGCGACCGCGACCGCAGTCGTGATCGACAACGCGACCAAGGCTACGGCCGCACGCATTGTGGGGTCTTTATGACCAGGCTAGCACTGCTGCTCGTGCAGCCGCTCGTCCATTTATTCATGCAGGCAATCGCCTCAATGGTTTTGCCAACACACACATCTTATCCCACCACTTTGTGCCTCCCTCCACTCTCAATCTGGTCCTTCAGCGTCCCAACCCACCATCGGTTTTACGAAAGGTGTTTCAACCGGGCTCTGCCCCACTCTGCGATGTTTTTGCACCACCGCCCCATGAACCTCCGCTTATTACGGCTTCTACCCTCGCTCCTATCATTGATGCACTGGGCGAGCTCCCCGATCACTAATCATCTCCTGTGGATGCCGGCGCTTTAGACTTCGCTGAAGTCCCTTCTGCCGAGGTACTTATTACCGAGCGTTTGCCCCTATACACACCACGACCATTGTTTCAAATTTCTGCGAACCCAACCAAAGTGGATATTCCACTGTTCCCACCCAGTGCCTTCTCGGCCACTCGCAGCGACATTATTACCGCGGCCGTCAGAGACACCGATCAAGGTGGTTCTCCAATTGCCCTCAAGATGTGTGGACGGTGTCCGTCCCCATCCCCCATTTCAAGTTTTTGGTGGACAAGGCATTTTTGCCCTTCATGCGGACCTACGCTACTGTGAAAGTAACCACGGTGACCCGCCTCTACCTATGTCGGTGACTTATAGTCCCAATGACGTTCCCGCTCTGCGAGAACATTGGATTGTTGACTCTGGCGCTTCTGCCTCATGCACTCCCAACCGAGATTATTTCTCCAACTACGTCCCTTGAGCACTGTATCTTACAGTCGGGAACGGTGCTCAACTTCCCGTCCTTGGCTATGGTCCTCTTTCTTTGGCCGTGGACATGTCGTCCCATGACCAAGCCGACGATATTCGTCCATGAGCTCTACGCCTCACCTTTGGTTTACATTGCCCTGAACTACAGTTCAACTTGTTCTCGGTGCGCCAAGCGACCGATGAAGGCATTTCAGTCCGTTTTACGGCTCGCGACATGTGCGAAATTACCACCACTCTTGGTGATGTGCTTCGTGCACCTAACAATTGCATGGGCCTATACTCCTTTCCCTGTCAGCCCAAGTGCGAGCCCTCAACCGATCCGCACCGTGGCGAGTATATCCATCCGGGCCAAATGACCATGCTTACTGGCATGATGGCCACCTTTGAGACCGCTCTGCGGAAATTCTCCTCAACACAGTGGATTTTCCACTTTTAACGATCAATTGTACATGTTTGCATATTCGTCTGTGTTGCGCTATGCGCCAATCATTCAACGACCATATATGGTCTCCAAGCCAACACCGTTCTACCCAATTACTCCAGACTCTGTCTCGATGAGTGTAGCCCAGGCTATGCTTGGTTCACACATTCCCACACCTGTCCATGACACCACTACTGTTCCAACCGACTGCCTTATTAGCCTCGTGGCTGACTCCAAGCT